AAGGTTAGGCTTTGTTCCATTTTCCATGTGTGTGAACTTTCTCCTGCTTCTCGGCCAACATGGTAAATTGCTCCTGCAGCCCCTACCTAAGCACAGTTACTCAGTGCTCAGAGGTTTCATGAGACTTAGTAAATTGCTAGATAAAGGTCACCATCCAAATAGGAACAGACCTAGGTTTGAGCTCCATGTCTCAGGCCTGAGTGGTCAGCATACTCTGGCTCTTTGGAGTCTCCTGGGAGACTGGGACACAGTTCTGCCTGCTTTGTCAAGAGCCCATAATCGATATTTGTTGCTGGAGAGGCCAAACACACTTACAGAGCTTTTCATGTTGTTCCTATGACCACTAGGAAAGAGGAGAATCTTGCACTTGGTGTATGGGGGGAAAGACAGGCTCAGAAAAGTTAAGGAACTCGCCTCAAATCACACAGGCTCCAAACGTCAAAAGCTGGGATCTACAAGCAGACAGCCCAGCAGTCAGACATTGACAGACTGTGGTCCTTAGTGGTATTCTGGCTGTTCCTAGCAGCACCTAGGTCTTTGTGCCTGCCTGCCTGTCAAGGGATGGATGCTGGACAGATGTTTCAGATGCTGGGCCTGGGTTCTGTCAGAGCCTGAGCAAAGTCAGGCCTCTTGGGAGCCCCTCTTGGGAAGGCATGAGAGGCTTTGCCAAACACAGAGCAGTTGCTCTGCTCTGGGGAAGAAGAGGGCTCCTGATGTTCAGGGGAGAAGCCTCCCTGCATTCCCCACCCTCACCCCCGTGGACGTTCTGCACCCCAGAACTGCCTATGCACACATATGTGCACGAGGGCCACACCCAAGTGCATAAACAACCACATACACACTCCGGCATGCACCCAGGACCTAAGATGCTGTGATCTGCATATCTCCCATATCTCCTGCTAAGACCTACTCTCTGTCCTCTGCCAGGCTTTACTGTGCCCCTTCCCTGGGTCTCTCCAGACACCATTCCTCAGGAACTCATCCTCTTCATCTAGGTCTGTGTCTGTCCTCTCTCTCTTTTCTCCAAAATAGTGTGTTTCTGACAGCAGATCTTAAGCCTCTGGCTCTCTAAGGACGTTAGAGAGTTGCCTTGACAGTGTGCGGTTTGCCTCTATAAACTAGGGCTTTGTGTAGGATGCTAGCATGTATGCCTGTGTTTGGGCATGTGTGTAGGTTGTGTGTATAATGTGTAGCTCTCGGTTGTGTGTGGTTGTGTGTCTGTGTCACTGGGTTGTGTGTTGAGTTTGTGCACAAGGTTGTGTGTTTGTTGGGGTGTACATGCCAGCTACTGATTTTGTGAATGTGGTGTGTGATAGTTGATCATGTGTTGGGCATCTATGTGGGTCTGAGTTATGCATCTGAGGTGCACGTGTTGACTTTATGGGTTTTCTGAGGCGTGTGCTGGTGTGTTGTATAGATATATGTGGGTCGTGTGTGCAAAGCGCTTTGTAGGCTCTGCCTGTGGTGTAGAGAGTCCACATTCATGGAGCAAGGGGACTGTAGGCAGTTGACATTAAGAAGAGGCGGCTGTCGCCGCGGGGTGGCGCTGTGGCGGAGGCAGGCGGACTTGTGGCCAGGGTTCTGCAGAGCCGAAGTGTGCTGAGGAACCGTAGCTGCTGTCGAGCGGAACTGAAGAAATCCCTAGAGTCTGGGAAGCAAGATTGGGGTGCAATGGAGGAGAGACGACATTTGGTTATGGTAGTTGGGGATCAGGTGCTCCCGGCGGCACCCGGTGTGAGGGACAGGGGGCTGTCACGGAGAAGCTAATGACTAGGAGGACAAGACGGAGCCGGGAAGGACGTGCGGCCCCGGGACCCTGGCCAGGCCGGCGCCAGCCAAAGAGTTGAAAGGCGGCCGCTGCCTCTCCTCCCAGCTCCCCATTGCGCCCCCGATAGCTCTGGTGGGGCGCAGGCCTGGACCCGCGGGGCTCACTAAAGGTCCTCGGGTCACTAAAGGGGTCCCGCGGTGGGACTTTGATCTGCAGGCCTCCTGCGCAGTCCCGGCACCCTCCCAGGATCAGTTATCCGAGCCGCGTACCCTGAAACTAGGCGCGCTGAACGCGAGCCCCACCCTGCCTCCTGGGTCACGACGGCCTCAGCCAGGCTACCCACGCTCAGAGCTCTGGTGCCCCAAGACCCCTGCCCTGGCCAGCATCATCTCCGCCTCAGCTACCTCACTGCTCCGGCCGCTCCAGTCCTGTGGCGTGGTCAGAAACTCAATTTGCAGGCCGAGTTTCCGTGATCTTTCCAACAAAATGAAAATGCCGGTGCAAACGGCCTGCCGGGCAAGGAAGATGTCACTCTCACGATCCTACGAAAAGTGCTTGTATGTGATCATGGGAAAGGGGTTAAAGTCGTAACGGGGGCCCAGATCACCCGTGACTGCTTGCCGGAGCCACCTCCATTTCGTGTGAGAACTGCCGTGGCGCTCAATGACCTTCAGCTGTAGAGACTTGGGCTAGTGCTCCGGAATGCTTTAGGTACCTAATGAAATGAGATCGAATCCCTGTTCTGTTTCTTCATTGACTGTGCCCTGTCACCTCTCTGGGCAACAGTAGTCCTCCAAGGTTTGAGCAGAGGAGTGAAGCCGCCAGCGCGCATGGTAACACGACCAATGCAGTAGGTTCCAAGAACAGGCTCCTCTACCACAGCCTGCCAGTGCCCTAGATGGTGACCCCCACTCCCCGTGATCGAGACCACTCCTTAGCTAGATCAGGAAATGGATCGGCAAAGAATCAAGGCAAGGACCAACTACAGATGTCACTCTCTCTCGAATAGACAAGGAACTCAGCCCCAGAACCGACAGTAGGAGCGGTATCCATCTCCCAGCCGCAAATTTATGCCGTACTGGATTTAAAGCGGCTCCGAAAACTGGACGCCAATCCAGTGGGTTGCTCAGAGACGGCAAACATCTATTGAGCACTTTCTGTGTACACAGCCGTCTAGAAAGAGAATTAGGAAATGAGAAGATGATGAAAGAAAGGACTAACTGCAAAGAAATAAAAATAGGGGGAAAAAATGAACGGACGCAATAGTGGAAGGAAATCCCGGCACAAGACTGCTTCCGAAGGCCACGATGCTTGCTACTTGCGGCTGGGGGTCCTAGAGAGGCTCGGGAGGGGGGAGAGGAGGCGCGCCCGCCTTGCCTGCAGCTACCGCCTTGCTGGAGCCATGGCGCGTCTGCAGAACGCGAACCGTTGCTCATTACGGCAATTATGTTGCTCTAAATTTGCCTCGACCCTAAATTGCTAAACTCAGAGGAGCCAGGAGGCTCAGGAGCTTGGGCCAGAGGAGACACAGGATCCTGCCCCGCCATTCCTCAATTCTGAGTGAGGGTAGGGACTCTGCGCCGTGAATGCAGCGCTTGCTGAAAACGCAGGCTCTAGGGGAATCTTCTGCGCCCTCAGTGCCAGGCGGGTTAACACTTCCCCAAATTCTAGGCGTGAGGAAGATGAGAAAGCCAGGGCACAGCAAGATGGCATGGCCGACCTTGCCTAGAAAAGATTACACAGGAACTTAGGCTCTAGACCACGCAGCCACTTCGGCCCACCGGAAACAGCCTCAGTTCCTCTGTCTTCCTAGCCATCTCCAGTGGCTTTCTAGGAAGGAACCTTGGAGTCAGAATGTTTGCGGGTCGGGGTGTACTGTTCGCTCTCCCTAGACTGCTTAACTTAGGTGATTGACAGCAAGCAGAGGGACACCTTAGCTTCCAAGCCTCTAAAGGGCACGTAGTGTGGAATCCCAATCTTGTAGGCGTAGTTGTCTAGAGGCCCAGAGATTGAAAGTTACTTTCCAGAATCCTCCAGATTGTCCCAGTAGTAGAACCAAGATCTTTGACAAAGCTTGAGAAATTTGTCCTTCTTTTAGGGAGGGGTGTGTGTGTGTGAAAGATAGCCAGACATAGAATTTTAACTCCAGCTACAACAGGCTGGAGGCTCCAAGGCCAAGGTACCTCTATCTTGGAGCCAGTGCAGAACCCTCCCAAAATGCCCCACTCCCCAGCTTAGTTTCTCATGGAATTAATTCCCAGGCCAATATGAGCCTTGGGACCAGAAGCAATTTCTACCTTTTAACTGTGGAGATGTCCACATCTTCCCCCAAGTCCAACACCAGATACTAGGGGTCTGGATTCCCCCTCCTGACATCTCTGGACTCAGGTTGCCCAGAGCCTTCTTTCGTGGAGTTTGGATATTCAAGCTCCCACCAGACTGGTAGAGGGGAGTACCTAGATTCGGTGAGACTTAAGGGGTGGTCAACTACATAAGAGAAAGAGAAGAGGGGATATAATAGGCTTGATTTACCAAGAGGTCATTTTCTCTTACACATCCTTGTAGAATTTTCCCCAGATTAAACCTGCACTTATTCAAATGTATTTTTCTTGAAAGCCTGAACTTGACTACATAAAAGATAAGTCAGTTTTAAGAGGGCAGGAGAGCAGGACCCAGGTATAGGGTAGCCCTGGGTGTTCAGTACTCTTCAGCGTGGCTGCCTATTTGTGTGTTAACAGAGGCTGGGCTAGCTGTGCAAAGCTCTTTGGACAGTTCAAAATAAAACAGCACACGTTCTGTCTACACCAGGTGGTTGTGTAGAGGCAGGCACACACACACCACACACATACACCCTTCAGTAGGAAAAACAGCATTCAGGGGACAGGAGTGTCTGGATTAGCTGTTGACAGTCATCAAACCATTTGGGCCAAGGCACTTTGTTTCCATAGACAGCTTAAAAGGGGCGGAGGAAAAGAGTCAGTTATGGGGTGGAAAGAGCAAGTGTCGAGTCAGCTTAAAGTGAATGGGAAAATTGAGCCTGATTACCCTAGGTAATTGCTCCAGTTCTCCATTTGACTGTGTTAATGCAAATCTTTCCTGTGTACCACCCCCCCCAGATGATTCCTGAACATCTTCCTGTCGCCTTTGAAAGTAGCTGATGTAAAACTGCCAAACTGGAAAGCAATTATATATGTGAGGAGAAAGAACAAACAGTAAATCACACAACTCAATCTGCAGACTTCATAGCTTGTAGCTTAAAATTAATTTATTTAACAAATATAGCTATAATATAAATGATAATAAAATTTCAAATATACAGTATATTACATAGTACACATGATCCCTTCAAAAGGGATGTTTGAGAGCCACGAAAATGTACTGTTAAATAGAAACAGATTTTGTTTTTTTTACTTTTTTTTCCTGGTCCTGGGAATTCTCTTCAACCTACCTTTGTAAAGCACCAGCAAGTGCCCTGCCCGCTCAGAGCAACGCTTTGCTGCTAAAGCTCTTGGAGTTTGACAGTGGAAGGAGCTGGGCTCCTTGCTTTCTATAGGACTCTGTTCATTTCCCGAAGCACCAAACAGCAATTTCTCTGCGCAAGTCCTGCCTGGTTCCAGGACCGGAAGCAGTTGGAGTCATGGGCCTCTAGTCCTTTTGGCCTCTAGTCTCCTTCAACCTCTAATTCTGCTGGGGACCACGGATAAATCTCTTGGCCTCCGTGCCCTTAATTTCCACATCTATAACTCGTGGGTATAAATCTAGATCCCTCGAAGAATCCAGACCCTTCCAGCCACTTTTCCCCCCAGATGGGATCAGACTTGGAGAAACTGTAGGAAGGAATTGGAGGAACTGCAGCAGGGGTTTTAAGAGAAGGAACCAGACAGTGTTGGGCAGCGGAGATACCAAGGAAGGACTCCAGCTGCTAAAAGAGGTGGCATGGGGGGAGGGGAGAGGGGACTAGTGGCACAACAGAGAGGCGACTCTGGACCCTCCTATGTCAGGTGGTACATGCTGTAGCCTACATGGGCCGTGTAGAGTCCCACGGGCGCCACGGGCAGCGCAGCGCGCTGGAAAGGGCCAGAGGCACTGTAGAGCGAGGCGCCCGCGGCCGCGGCTACCGCTGCAGGGCCGCCGAGAGGGAAAGAGAGGCCGAAAGCAGCGGGCGGCAGCATGGGCTTCGCAGCCATTTTCAGCTTCTCCAGCTCAGCCTCCTGCAGTCTCTTGGCCTTGGCGCGGCGGTTCTGGAACCAGATCTTCACCTGCGTCTCGGTGAGGCTGAGCGAACTGGAGAACTCGGCGCGCTCGGCGATGGACAGATACTGCTTCTGGCGGAACTTGCGCTCCAGAGCCAGTAGCTGCGCAGTGGTGAAGGGCGTCCTTGGCTTGCGGTTGGTCTTGTGCTTGCGTAGGGTGCAGGCCGGGGGACTCAGTCTCCCTAGGGGGCCGGGAGAGGAAAAAGGCAAGGAATTAAGAGTGTATTACTAAGGAACAGAAACCACTCCCAGCACCTCTTAGCTATGGGGCACTTGAAAAATATTTTCTCCATCTGCATGAACACAACCCGTAGGGCAGAAGTTCTTGCCTACTAAGATTCCAGATGAAATCTAGCCACGTCCAATGCTAGAACACAGTTGGGCAGAGACAGTGCCAACCTACCTTAAAGTCAAGGCTTGACCACCCGGGGCCTCTTCTGGGCCACTGCACAGAGGGAAGATGAATGCTAAGGGGAGACATAAAACATCTAGAGGGCCTTAGGCCAGCCCAGGTCACACCGGCTTTTATACCTTAGGCATACATATATTTTGTACCCACCAAGTGTACTGCTAGACCCCTGCAAAGAATGGGTCTTGAAATTCCACACTTTCTGTCAAACAATGCTTCTCCTGGGCTCTAGGGACATTCAAAAGAAGAGAGTCATCCAAGAGGTCACACTGCAAGGATTCTAACACACACTAACAAGCACACCTGTTTATCTAGATGTGATCCTCTCAGTTTTCCCTACAGCCTCTCCTAAACACAGTGTCTGGGTTCTACGACCACCCGAAGCATAGTGTGTGTGTGTGTGTGTGTGTGTGTGTGTGTGTATGTGTGTGTGTGTGATAGATTCACCAACATTGCTTACTTTCAAGAAACTGGTGATGCCCACTTGTATTTTTTTTTCAGCTTTCCCAGTAAAAGTTAAATCTTAGCAGAGTGCTACCACTGTTTGGAGGGCAAGGCCCAGTGAGGAGACTGGGGCTCAATCCTCCATCACCCTGGCTATGCCCGACAACACTGTTGCAGGATAAAACAAACCACAACAAATTTCCTGCCCCGATAACAAAACACATACACACACACACACACACCCCACTTAGAGATTGCCTTGGCTTGGGATCCTAAAGGGTGAAGTTCTAAATCAAATTCCTAAGTCTCCAGGAGGAGACCGCCTCTGCAGCAGCTTCTCCTTTAAGAAAACGAATTGAAATTGAGGACGTCTCACCATGCGGGCTTTGCCCAACTATGCATTTCTTGGCACTTAAAAAAATAATAATAACCCTTTGGGCCCTCAGACCACTAGGATGTGAGTCAAACGAAATTTCCAGTTAACATCCCCCTTCTTCCCCAGCTTAGGCTACGGCAAGTCCGGAAAGAAGTTGGCCGCCAGGCCACTCCAGATAAAGGAGGTTCATAGGGAAATGTCACTTTGGTCAGCAGCAATAGCCCAGCTCTGGGCCACCTTCGCCAACCATTAGGCCCAGGGAGGGGCTGTCTTTTCAAAGACGTTTAATCTCCAGATAAAAATCGTTCCTCAGCATCACGCCATTGAATTTGCAATGCTATTATGTGGTGCGAAATAATCGGAGGAAACGAGGAAAACTTGGGAATTTCCCGTACTCCTGAAATATCTTCGAGCGGGTTCGCAAGGGAAAGACGCCTGAGGGCCGCGAGAATTTAGGACTACCCCGAAACACGCAGCTGGCTGTTGGGTCGGCTTTGAAAGCCAGGTCCAACGCGTTCGGGAGCTAGCAAAGCGATTAATGCGGAGCCCCTTTGGCTGTCTTGCCCCGCCCCCTCCGCTTGTCCACGACCGTCCCCCTCTTACTGAATTATCCACCCGTCCTGAACACCAAGTAAATGCTTAGAACTTGATGGGTGGGGGAGGAATTTTGCAGAGCTCTGCAACCCCTGGAGAGGTTCTTTAATGGAGAGCTGGGGTTTTCGGCCTCTACTACCAGAAAGTGAAACTCCGCAGAGAGAGAAAGTACTGACCGTTGGGCCCATCTAAATCGGTGTAAAGTAACTGGGCTTAGGGTCAGGTGGAGGAGCAGGGTACCCTCGGCGTCCTAAGTACCGGGAGGATAAGAGGGTGCACATACACCGGCGCGCTACAAATGAACTGACAAGCTCAGCGGCACTGCGCCAGGGCAAGGAGCCCGCGAAAACGGACTGAGAGGTTTGCCAGCTCCAGGCCTCTATCCCTCTTCCTGGGTGGGAGTGGGAAGAGGTTCAAAAGGCCTCCTCCCCACCAACGCAACCTCTGCACGGCCTCCAGGTACCCAGATGCAGGTACGCCGACGCCCGAGACAAGCCGGCGCCGGCGCGCGGCCTGGCGCCCTCGGGCCTCACACCCCCTCCTGGCCCCTTCGCTCTCCATTCTGGGCTGGCTACTTACTGGCTGGGGGCGGGGAGAAGCGGGGACTCTGCATCCACGGGGTTCGGTCTGGCTTCTCAGGGCTCTCGGCCTTCACCAGAGCATCTTCTGGCAGCTTGAGGAGTCCCCCGACTGAGAAATGGCCGAGAGGTCGCGGCGAGGAGGGCGCATCTGGGGCGCCCAGAGACCCGGGTCGGGTACCCAAGTGCTGCAAGGAGCCACCCGCTGCCTGAGCCCCCTCGGAGGCCACCAGGACGCTCTCCTTGGCCCCGGGCTTCCTGTGATCAGCCATGAGGGCCTCCACGCTGAAGGGTAGAAGAGAAGCGGGCACTTTGGGTTTAGCCCCCTCCTCATCTGTGCCCATGGTGCTCGCCGTGGCCGCAGCAGCGCTGGGGGCTTGACCAGCGCCTCCCCCTGCAGGCTTGCCGAAGGCGGAGTCCTCCACTTTGACACCGAGTGGCAAAGAAGTCATAGCAGCAGCTGGGGCCATGCAGAGCCGGACCTCCACTCCAGCCGCAGCTCGGGCCCGCCCTGGAGCATGGGTTTCGGGCTGGCTGGGAGCGCGGCCGGCTTCTGCGAGCTCCCGGGACCCTGGCCCCGGCCGATCCTCCCGTGCGAGCCTCCCGCGGCTCCCCTAAAGGCCAGCTGGGGCGAGCTGGGCCTGGATCCCTGCGCCGCGCAGGCCGAGTTCCCGGGCTCACTCGCCGGCTCCGGGTCCGCAGCCGCTCCCCTGAGAACTTGTTAATAAGGCAAGGCCAGCGCGTCAGCGGCCAATCAGCGCGCGAGGGGGCGGGCCCGGAGAGAATCATTGGGCCGCGCTCCTGTCCCAAGGCGCGCCCGGGCTGGGGGTGCTCTGGGCAGAACAGAGCCGGAGGTACCTGGGGAGCCTTTCCGCCCGACTTACCCCGGTGGGCATCTGTCCGGCTGGGTCCCCCTAAGACGTGGACCCTATCGAGTTCGAGAGGAGCGTTCCTATATTAGCACTTCTCTTCTGCCCTGATCGTCCTCCACCGTCCCGTACCCACTTTTTCCTTTCCCTCTACAGCCTACTTTCTTTCCTCCACCGTTTCTCTCTCGGCCCGTTGCTATTTATTTCTGGCCCCCTTCCCTCCTCGACCCCCATTTTCTACCACAAAGATTTTACTTCAGTTCACGTGCAAGTTCTTTTTATATTTGTTTTGGTTGATCATAGCTATTTGTCATAGTAGAAAGGGATAATACTAATGTCTTTCTTTAAAAAAAAAACACTAAGTATCTTGTGTCTTTCAATCTTAAAAAGTTTATCTAGGGGTCAAAGTGGGCCTTTGTTTCTAAAGGCCGAACAAGTTTGTCAAAGGAAGCCTAGGCCTTGTTCTGTGGGTGCAAGAACCCGTAACATAATCTGGGAAATGCGTTTGGTTTTCATACACACATGTACCCCCTCCCCTGACTTTTTCAGGAAAGTTACCCCTCTACCAGAGAACTGCTGGCCAAAGGAGCCCATGGAACCCTTGGTGGAGAATTGGAAACAACAACAAAACAAAACACCGATCTGGCCTCAACGTGACCTCTGACAATGAGTCCTCAAAAACATAACACTTTATACTAACGCTGGGCCAAAGTTAGGGAGTAGAGGCTCGTGTGAAGAAGGGGCAGGAGAAAGAAAGCAGTTCTGGGCAGCGTAACTTTGGTGCGAGGCTTAAAAACTTTTGTTTACCGAATTTCGAAGGAAACGTGGTTTTATTTTGGCTGACAGAAAAAGGAGGAAAGTTATTGAGGGGGGCACAAAAGATCTATGTAAACTGGGTTCGGACGCGGGGCGCTGGAGGGGGGCACTTTTCTTTTATGGTCTCTTATCCCGGGGCCCAGGCCCACGGCTCCGGGGGAGTTGGAGGAGGTGATTGGCGGCTCACCGGGACTGGGCATTGATGACTGCGGGGCTCTAATCTCCAGGAAACACAAGGGGCTGCCGTGGCCATTTAGGGGTAATTATCCGAGCACGCAGGGATAGCGAATTCCCTGGCCTTTTAACTGGGCGCAATAAAAAGCTGTAGATTAGGGGCGACCAGATTAAGGAAAATGAATTACTTTATTACCCAGACAGCGTCCGGGGTCTGGAGGGAGGGGTCGAGTTGCGGACGCTGGCGAGGTCGGAGCCTCGCCTCTGCTCACAGGGCCTGGAGAAATAGCAAGGCCTCGGGACGGGTTCGGGAATACTCGCTTCTGTGAATTGTCCGGATTTCCTAGGCATCTGAGTCTGCTGAGCAGGCTCTGTGCAGATCTTGGAACACAAGCTCATTTAGGCCCAGCTGGACGCCCGGTGTTCTGGGCCCACTAAGGTTCGTCCTGTGTGTAGGAGAAGTAGAAGCCATGCCACCCTATTTTAAAGCCCAGCAAGCGAAAGCTAAGCAAGAGTGTCGGCCGACGATCTAGCTCGAAGCCTAGAGGGGACGGCGAACTTCTGTAGCTGAAGAACCAACTAAGCCGTTGCTAGAGCCACTCGTTCAGCAGCTTTAGCCGATTTTCACTCTGCACTCCTGTTAAAACAGAAGCGGAAATAAATCCCCTATGTGCCTTTTTTTTTTTTAGATCAGCGTTTTTAATACGAGAAGTGTTTGTCAAAAGTAGGGGTTTTCAAGTTGTTCCGCCGCTGTCCCTGACTCAAATGATTCTCTCCAAGGGGGAGATCGGAGAGTCAATCCAATGTAGCTAAGACCTTCTCCCTGGAAAAATGCACATCGATTAAAACACCGATTGCGTAGACAACACCAGGGACTCGTGGACGGGCCCTGAGTCTGAATTTCTGCTTTAGGATCAAGAAGGCCTCGAACTCCACGAGTGGGGCCCCAGGGCATTCAGGGGGCTCCAACGGAACTCTCGGCGTGCGCCGAAGTCGAAGCGGAGGCCTAGTCTTAGGCTGGGGAGGGGGGCGGCATGAGAAGGGCTGCATCGCTAATTGCGGGGATAAACAATCTGTCACGATCCCTCAGCGCGCCTAATAGGCAGACGAGGATGTTGTTTTTAGGCGCCAGCGGCGGCCGGATCAAAGGCTGCAGCCGGCGCAGGGGCCCTTGAAGTCGCGCCCTTGCCTCCAGGGAGCAAACTGCCTGCCCCTCAGTCCTGAGCCCTGAATTCGGCCCCTGGGCTTTTGGAGTGTGTCTCAAACTCCAGTCTCTTCTTTCTGGGTTCGGTGTGCGTTCGGGTCTGCGGTGATCCCGCCCGCAAGGACTGGCAAGTTACAAACGTAGCCGGGCTAGAAGAGCGCTTCTGCAGAGTGAGCGCAGGGAACCGGACTCAGGCCGGTTGAATTAACGCAGGACCCCTGCTGGGCTGTGCCAGCTTCGGAGGAAAAGTGTCCCATGCCCCCTCCCCCCAACACACCACTGAATCTGAGAAAGGAGTAGGAGAAACTAAATTAAAAGCCTGTTCCTAGGCGTGTAGCTTAGTCCTGAAGAAAGAAAGGCATTCGTTTGGAATCTATGAGAACCGGCAACCTCCGAACTCATTTTTGTCTGGCCTTTGCGGATTTCCCGGCCTGTGGGTGCAGCGAGCAGTCTGTTATCTCACGACAGCGCTAACCCAAGAAGCTGCTGCCTAGGCGCGACCGTTGTAGGCAGAGAAGAAAACCGACCGTAATTCATGCCTGGCAAGGGCAGGGCTGGCCCGCGGCAGATAAAACTCGGAGACCCGCGCTCTGCGAGCAGCCTTGCCTACTCTGAGCTCTCCTTCCCTCCCCCTCGCTCGGCCTCCCTTCGTCTCCTGAACCCTAATGCGCTCACGCTTCCGAAAAAAAAATGCCTTTGCCGGTTGAGATTCTAAAGTCCTGCGCCCAGTGTCTGGGCCGCTACACTGATTGGTGGCGTTTACCCCGCAGCCCAAAATGCATGTTTAGGTCGGTTGAGGTACGGATGCGATGTGGTTCCTAGATAGCTTCTTCCCTGTGATCACAAAATCAGCTTGTAGAGGGATTAATTTTTAAAGGTAGCTGTTACTACCTGAGTCTCTTCCTCCTCTTGGAGGAACCCGAAAGCTAGCACTTCAGTAATGCGTTCGTTGTCGCCCCCATTCCATCCGCTTTCCCAGTGCATTTTGTGGCCTCTGCCCAGGAACCCCGCATTCATTTAAAAAAAAATGTGCGACTCAGTGGAATCCGATAGCAATTAGGTAGCTCCAAACAGTCTTCTTTAATAGAATGGATGTGCTCTGAAAACCGATTTATTTTAGTGGGGATTCACCAATCGCTAGGAGGGCAGCGGAGAGAGAGAGAGAGAGAGAGAGAGAGAGAGAGAGAGAGAGAGAGAGAGAGAGAGAGAGAGAGAGAGAGAGAGNGAGAGAGAGAGAGAGAGAGAGAGAGAGAGAGAGAGAGAGAGAGAGAGAGAGAGAGAGAGAGAGAGAGAAGAGGTATTTTGTCTCTGGGTGGGGGTGGGGTCTGATGGTTGGACGGAAAGCCTCGTTCTGGGATCTGCGAACCTCCTGAGAGGCCCTTCCTTCCCTGCCATCGCCGAGTCTCTGTCGCCTTCGAGTGAGAGGCTAGGAGTCATGTTCGAGAAATTGCCTCGTTCCGGGATTCACTCGTTCCGGGAAGATTTCAAAGCTTTCTAAGGACAAGCCCCAGAGTTTAGAACTAGAAAAATCTTCAGCTCAGGAGGTGCAGAGGTGATAGATATAAAATAAAAATGCTTCCGCTTTCCAAAGATCTTGGTCGAACTGATGCGGTCCTTAGCGCTCGAACTAGTGCTGCTGAAGGAACTCTTCCTGGAAGGTGTTTTTTTTTCCCCCTTTCTTGCGGACTCCTCAACTTCTTCAAAGGAAGGGTACCAGTCCTGCGGATTCACCCAAGAACTAGCTGCTAGAGTCTGAGACTTCTTGTCCCTTCCAGCCCATCCCCCCACTTGCTCTGGATCCCTCTTTCTTGGGCCCCGCTTTCTTGAGTCTTTAAATTCGGGAGGGGTGAGGGGCCAGGATCCGCGGAAGAGGGAGCTCCCTCTTCAAATGGCGCAAATTAATGCGATCGGGACTTGAGGGCGCACTTGGGGAAGATGAAAGCGGAGGCCTGCCGGCTCCTACCAGGACTCTATAATTATAGATAATATATCTCATTTCAAAGCAATTAGACCAATCAGGCGTAACGAACCACTTTGCTGCCTACGAATAACAAAGGCGCACGGTTATTTAAGCCTGGAGATGTCAGGCAGACCCTGAGGCTCCAGGGGCCCGGACCAAGGTCCTCCACCCCAGCTTGTCCCACCGCGGTACGGGAAAGACTACCCTGGATTCCTCTCGCTCTGCCCGTCGCCAACTAAGCGCCTCTCTCGCCTCTTGCCTCTGGCCGCGGGGGTACGGGTTGGAGGGGCTAGGAGAAACCTGGTGTCAGACTTCTGGCTAGAAGTTTCGAAAACTTTAACTAACTTAATTCTTTCTGCTCTGGAACTTCGGAAATATACGCTCCAAGGCCAGGGCTGAAAAAAGGGTATCAGAGAGGAAACGCACCTAACTAAGGGTCACACAGCTAGCGGTGGGATTGCTGGGAGCTCCGAACCACTCAAACCCCCACCTTGCCTTTTTCATTATGAGGAACAGCCTCACTTGGGCCCCTCCAAAATGGCATTGATATACTGGGGGTGCCGCTGCCGTACAGGATGGGTCCGCCCTCCAAGTCCCGCCCCTATGGGGAGGGAAGATCTTTCATCCTTCATTACTAACTTTCTCTCCGTGGATTGTCTTCGTCGCCTC